CACCCACCATACTCTCCAGCTCCTCAGGTCCCGGTGACCTGGTGGGCATGCACACACCCTTGCCACCCCCTCTGCCCGCCCTCCCAGCCACCTCCCAGGCAGGCAAGTCCTTTCATCTGTGGTGCCCCTGGCACCGGGGCCCCAGTAGGTGCCAATTAGGGTGGCTTCTGCCGAGGGCCCTGACTCAGAGGTGCCACACACCCAATCCTGTGGGGCGCCCATCACTCCCCCAGAAACTGACCCTTTACAGCTGTTGCCCAGGATGGCCTGGAAGCCTGAGTGGGCTCCGGGCCCTCCCCACTGCTGGTGACTCACCCCCCAGGGGGAAAATGGGTGTCTGTCTTTGGGCCTTGGCTGGGTCTGGGCCATTAGTCACCAGCTCCCTCTTTATAGGGCTTCCACCTGCAGCCCAGGCTGACCCCTGGGCCACACCTGGGAATTACTTGGTGACCCTGCTTGGTGGTGGGTCATGGCCAGACCCCACATATCCTGCAGCCTCAGGGCAGGGGGTGACCTAGCAAGGGTGGAGCTGGCCTCAAAGCCCCTACCCAGTGACACCGTGGGATTGGGGTGACACTGGGATGCCCACCGGCACACCAGGGTGCAGGGGAGGTGAGGGGGAGGGGTGCTGAGAGTCCAGAGCCCTGGACTTGGTCCCTTCTCTCTGCTGAGCCCTGACAGGCCCCAGACAGCTCTGTCCTTCCATTGCTGGTGGGATCCAGTGATGTGCCCATTTCTGGGACCACATGCAGCAGACCATGCCCTGGCCGTAGTCCCCTCCTGGTCCTGGCCTCCTCCAGCTCCTGCAGGGAGAGTCTCTGATGCCTGAGGGTCTGCACCACTCCTGGGCCTGGAGGGGTGGGGAAGTGGAAAGCACAGGCCAGTGCAGATCCCCTGCCCTGTGTCCCTCACCCATGTGCATTCCCCTGCCCGGCTGGCCATGGCTCTCTCTTGGCAGAGGGTGGATACTCTTTCCTGTGCGCTCATGGGACACTGTGAGGCCTTGTACCCCAGAGTTGTAATGATGTGTGCAAGGAGGCCCTGGTCACTTGTTGTGGACAGAGATGATCCAGGGCCATGGGGACCAGAAGGCTTGTGGGGGCTGGGTGCGATCCTTGCCCCAGGGAGGTGGCAGGGGTCCAAGGCAGTTGGCAGCAGAGCTGATGGGCTGAGGGGACAAAGGGGACATAAGGTGACGCTGCAGTGGGGGCCGTGATGTGGCCAGCGCAGGGGACTGACCTCCCACCCCCAAGATCCTGGGGCTCCTCCCAGGGCTCCCCTTAGAGGGCGGTAAGGCCCAGAATAACCCAGAGCATGTGTCACGCTGGCCCAACCCCATGGGCACCCTGGAGTGGGTGTGTGTGGGAGGTCAGTCCTAGCTCAGGCCCCTGTCTCCCAGCCTGAGCCGTTGTGCACTCCGTGGACAACAGTGTGGGGGGCAGAGTGGGGTCTGGAGAAGCCCTGTCCCGCCCCCCGTCCCGGCTGGCTCTCCTGCCAGCTCCTGGGGCCTGGGGCTGTTGTCCCAATCTCTTCCAGGCTGGGCTCTCACTGTCCCCTGGCAAGGATCCAAGGATGCTGGACTGTGCCCCCATCCCCTGACCCCACAAACAGCTTCATTCTGGCTTCTTCCCTCTGCCCCCAGCTGGCCAGTGAGGGCTTCCCAATTCCAAGACTCTTGGTGAATTGTTATAGTAAACAGACACCCAGGAGGTCCAGGAGGCTCCTCCTGCCCTCCTGCAGCCCGCTGTCTTCCAGCCACCTTGCAAATGGCCCAGGCAGGGTGGTTGTGCTGGGCTGGGGCCTTGGAGAGGGTGGAGCTGGGCCTGCAGCTGTTAGCCACCCTGGCCTCCTCAGTATGCTCCTCTGTGTGGTCTGGCTGGACATCAGGGTGGGCCCAGAGGTGGGGCAGGCAGGGATAACCACAGAGGAGAGTGGGGACCCTGGGCAGGGCTCAGAGAGGTGAAGGTGTGGCCTCGGGAGAGACTTCTGTCTCCTGCAGCCTCAGTTTCCAAGGTGCACCCTGCACCCCAAGGGAGGCTGGGCATGGTTACGTGAGGCATCCATCCAGCCAGAAGGCTTGCTTGTCCTGGGGGCTCTCCCTGCCTGGCCTGGCTGAGGCCCCAGACCACCTGAGAAGGCAGGCAGGAGTGTGGGGGCTCCCACAGGCAAGGCTACCCCTGCCCACAGCCCCAGGAGGGCCCTGCCCACTGGTGGGAATTTAAGAGACTCCTGGTGGCCAGTCGCATTGTCAGGTGCAGTGTGTGTGACTGGGATCCAACTGATCCTACACTTAGAGGCCACCAGCAGCCAGGCCACTGTCCCCAAAGCCAGAGAGCCCAGGTACTTGGATGTTGGCTGAGTGAATATGAACTTTTGGGAAAGTGACTCGGCTGATGTCTTCCATGAACCACGGACTCCTATGGGGTCTTGGCCTGCCATCCGCCCACTGGGACTGTCAC